GCAAGTCAAGGTCAATGTCAGGATTAGAACTTAGTTCTCCTCACACTAGATTTCCAACCAGCAAAGTGAAATCTACACATGTGAGATGTGTAGACAACAGATCCACCTGTGTATTTTCTGTGGAGGAGAATTAACTGCTTGCTTCCTTTTTTCCTCTTGGAGTCAGAGGTGGAAAGTGCACGCTAAACCAACATGCGGCAAGACAGTGCATTGCAGACGCCCTGGGGAGGCCATCCGTGGGGTCCTGTGGTGGGACAAGGAGAAATCATCACTTTCTGCCTCTCCCAGGAGTCATGGAGAGACTGTTCTCTTCCCTCTTCAACCCAAGAAGGTTTTATTGACCATTGACCACTGCTGGGAGTTGACTATTAACAAGAAACCTTTCCGTGAATTGCCATTTCGTTCTAAAGGCTGTCAAAGGCACGTAGAGGACATGATGGCCCTTTGTCATGGGCTATGGCGGAGAGGGGAAAGGGTGACAAGGCTACATAGCCTTTACATGGATCCAGGAGAACCTGCTGCACGTCTGGTCCACTCTGCTCTGCTTCTTTGGGGTGGCTGAGGTGGAATCGAGTTCTGAATGTTGGAATCACTGGCTTCCAGGAGTCATTCATTCTTCCAGAAGAATGCCTAGCCTTGCCCTAATTGCTTCCCTGGAGAGCCCAGGGGGAACTCTCATGATTCATATAGTACAACCCCTGGAAACTCCAGGAGTTATGGAAAGTGGCTGTGCCAGATGGCTTTCTTCTTCCCCCAAACATCTTTAACACATGTCACCATAGGTCAGAAAACAGTATTTCTTGCCCATTGAGCAAGGCATCAGTATAAAAGGAAGTTCCCACCTTTATTACAGACCCTCTACTCCTCCCCCTTCACTCACAGCTGTCATTAGACAGAAAGGGAGCAAACACACATATAACCCTTGCTATGCAGTAACTCAGTTAGTTCTCAAAATCCCACAAGGTAGCTTTTATTATTGCCCTCATGTTACAAAGGAGGAAATGGAGATGTAGAGGTTAAGTGACTTTCCCAGGGTCACTTAACATTTAAAGTGGTAGAGCCAGGACTCAATCCTGGGCAGTCCGGCTCCCGAGTCTGGGTTTTAATTCACTACCTGCCCTGCCTTGTCTGGTGCTGGTGTCCCATGCATTTGGCTCCAGACCCTGGGAAAGCAATCGCAATCCTACTGTTATATACTGTCATTTCTTTCAGTGCACAGAGTGAAGTATTCTTGAATTAACTGATTTTTTTTTTAAAAGATAAGAGGAGTTTTTAATATGTAAGGGTAGTTTAATGCCACTTCACAGCTTCCTGGGCAGCCCGACTGCTATCATTCAAAGGACATCAACACACCAGGGCTGTGATCAGCTGATGGCCAGCCCTTTGGATCGCTCCCATCATGAAAGAGCACCATGATGCTGACTCTGGTGTGGTCCGTCTGAAGCACAGTCCAAAAGTCACGAGAACCAGTTCTAATTTTGCTGCCATCTAATTTTCAATTCCATCAGCAGGGCTTGACCTGTCTTCAACATTTGGGGCACAGACTATATATAATCACTTGTCTACTTCCAAAGTGGTTGTATTCACCAGAAGGACTGGCTCAACTTGCAGTCAACAGAGATGCATGTAAATCAATACAAATGCCTATAAATACAACAGTCAACAATGAATGATGACGGGTATAAATAAATAATGTTTAAGAGTACTTTAAGGGGGTGTGTAGGTTGGGTTTCTGCTGGCATTGGGGAGAAGGCGTGGGATTAATTAGGGAGTTTATTGGAGCAAGTTGCAAAGATTAAAAGGAGAGAAAGATGCAGTACAGCTGCCATTCGAATGAAGGAGAGCGTGGCATGACTATGGCCCAGCTTGATGAATGAGCACCAGAGAAATTGAAGCCATCACCAATGATTTGAGCGAGGCACTTAACCTCCCTGGGTCTCGGTTCTTCCATCTGTCAGTATGGAAAATTGGGTATTGAAATCAAGAGAACACAGTGAAGCACTTTGAGTCCTTCAGAAGAAAAGCATCACTATCACACATCCTTTGGGTTAAGGAAAATCAATTATTTGGAAGAAATGCCTATGGCTTATGACACCTGATTTGCCCCCAGCACCAGTAACTCAGATGTCTCCTGGGAAAGAAGCAATCTAAAGCATCCGCATAGGAAAAATAGTAGGCGTTCAGAATCTTGCAAGGAACATACTTCTCTTTGGCATCATGTAAACAGCATGGGTTTAGCCTAAGGCCCAAGCCACGCCTGTAATAAGCCCAGACCCAAATCTCAAGTGACTGCCCACTCCTTGCTTTCCTGGCTGGCGTCAGCCAATCACAAGCAGAATCAGATGTTGCCTTGCCAGTGCGACTGATATGCTTCTGGGGAGCTGTGTTTATGCCTTGCTTTTGTTTGTGTGATGTTCTGTGTTTTACAACTTCAGTCTCCAGGAATTTTTCCCATGGCTGTGCATCATTCGTTATCACCCATAACCAAATATGGCAGCTTTAAATAGCGCTGTCATTTTCCTCAATTTCACTTGTTGTGATACAATCAGGTATAGATTTCTGACACTGAGCATCTAATGGGGTTTCAGATTCAGAAAGCTACAATAAAAGATTATTTTCCCCCTGTATATCTCATTTGAGAGACACAGAGTGGAACAGTCTTGAGCGACAGGGCACACGGAAGTCGCGTACGTGTGCCTGGAGAGACGCCGGGGTCAAGAAGGACACTGGGGTGGACCGAGCTAGTGAATTCTGCTGCAGTGGGTGTGTAGGCTTGATCAGTTTCTCTACCCCCTCTGGACTCTGGGTGTGGGTTCTGCCCTCTCTGTGTCTTCCTGTGTCTGCCACCAGCTGTTGGGATGCTGAGGAAGACACGGCCATCCCATGATGGACACGGGAGTGACTGACTGGGGACTTGGATTCTGCTGCTCTGAAGTCTTTGCTTCCTTTGTTAGAGGATTTGCATAGTGATGGGGCCAGACATGCTCAAATGGTCCTCTGCTCATTCTTCTCCTGTTCCCCTCCCTAAGATACTGGGCTTTGTCCATCAAGTCGTTTCATTTTCCCAGTAACACCTGAGTACTCCGTGCGGACCAAGCACGGATGCACCATGAGTCCGAGAACTTGCAGTTGGTATCACAGGGCAGTTCCACGGTCTAGGCCACACCGTAAAGGAAAACCAGCTCACGCCACCCCAGAGGTCACTGATACCCTGCTGCAAGGTCATAAAGCCCGAGAACGGCTGCCACCTTGGCAGAAGATGAGCTATTTACATCCTCTCTGTGCACCCTCTGGGCTGTTGTCCCAAAGAGGAAAGTAAAACTGTACCCCAGGTGGTTCAGCAGTGAGCCTGCTGGCTCTCCAAGAAGGAATGGAAAACCATCCAGAAGAGAAGCTGAAAACCACCCATGACTGTGGCTACGCAAATGTAACAGGACCGTGCAGAACTGCCTCCCTCCCACCTGCCTCAGATGCAGCCGTGGGAACAGCTGTTGTTACTTGGAGTTTCTCAGCTTCTTCTAGCTTCTTATGGATAACGAAAGCTCAGAAAGCTGGTTGAGTTTAGCTCAGTGCTGGAATAGGTAGTTCCCTTTCGTGTTTCTTGGAACCACAGTATAAAAATGACATAACCTGCATGGTAGGTTGTGCCATGATCGATGCAATCTTGAGCTTGAAAGCTTACCTGTTCATAGAGACCCTGAGCTTAATACTGATTTCCGGTCCTCTCTATGGACTTCCTGGATTCCTAGGATCATACAATCATAGAATTTTCATTGAGATGGTCCTCAGGGAGCATCTGGGCCAGTGGTTTCACAGTAAATGAGAGGAGCAAGCCTGGCTCAAGGCAAGGCAGCAGAGGGGCTGAGAGAGAGCGCCCTGTCCACAGTGGGAGCCACCCCTCGGCTCCAGCCTATTGGGAACTTGGACCCAGGGTTGCCAGATCAGCCCATTAAAAAAAAAGCCAGAGATCTAGATTTATATGTGAAATCTCCTAATCATTTAATGCTTGCAACTAATGCAAAATGGGTAAACACTGCGGGGTAAACAAAGCAAGTCTGTGGGCTGTATGTGGTCCATAGGCTGCTGGTGTGTCACCTCTGATCTAGTCCAGCTCCAGCTGAATCCAGAGAGGGGTGAGCACTTGCCTAAGATCACACAGCTAATGACGTGGAACAGCAGACTTAACTGCACCCTTCTCATTGCATTTTGTTTTCCCGTGGAAAATGGTGGGGTCCTTGGCATCCAGGGTTTTGTTCCTGGCTCTATTCTCTGGGTCACATGACTCTGGACAAACACATCCCTGGGCCTGGGACAAACCATGTTTTCCATGGCATAGCGGGATGAGCCCTGGGCTGAGTCAGAAACTGCGGGTTTGGGTCCTAGCTCTTCCACTTACAAGCTGTGTGACCTTGGGCACATCCCGTGACTGCCCTCGGCTTTGATTTCTTCACTAGTACAATGAAAATAATAATTTGTGCCTCCCAAGAGTGTTTTGAGGTTTACATGGGAAGGTCTTACCATGTGGGAGATCACCCCACAAACAGATCCCAAGGATGCCTGTTGTATGAGCACCCTCGTGAGAAAGATGTGTCGGGCGGGTGGTGCTGCGGTCAGACCCCGGCACTGCAGGCAGCAGCAGCTCAAAGGTGCTCTCGGGGCCTGCTCCGAGCCACCCCCAGAGGACACCAGGCAGCACATCAGGGGCACTGAGGGCTGTTCCTCTCCCCCAGCACAAAGATGCCCTCCTCCTAGGAGGTGATGTGGCCATGCTGCTGTTCCGTTTCATCTACTGAGATCAGGGCTGGGTAGGTGCGTTGGAGCAGCCCCTGCTACACCTTCATGCCCAGCATCACTGAAACCAATTCCCCAGGACCCCAGGAAATGCAGTCTGGGGCCTGACCCATGCTCGCCACAACCTCTGCCCTCCCCTGCCCTGCCCTGCCCAAGGGCCGCGTTGACTGAATGTGAACGGTGAATCTTGTTTTTATCTCCACTTCCAGGGACGCAAACCCGGATATTTCTCCTTTCTGGACCCGTTTTCTCCCGGCGTCTGGCTCTTCATGCTTCTAGCCTATCTGGCTGTCAGCTGTGTCCTCTTCCTTGTGGCTCGGTACTCTCCTCTCCCCTTCCCTGTCCTCACACCGCCACCTCGTGCCCACCTCTGGGAACTGCATGGGGAGGGGTGGGGGGGGGGGGAGGAGAGAGGCGGGTTGAGAAGACCTGGTGCCAAAGCAGAGGGATGGGAGAGGGACTGGGGACCCGAAATGCTCTCTGCCGGGCTGTCGACCTCGGGCTGCCCATCCAAACGTTCCCCACCACGCACGGCGCAGACAGGTGAGCTTGCCTGGATTGACCTCCTGCACCCCTGCCTCTTGCCTCCTCCCGCTCCGCCCCTCCTCCCCCTTCATGCCCCCTGCTTGTGTGGGAGCCTTGGGAAAGAGAAGAGGGGAATAGGGTGGCAGGAAAAGCACTGTGATTAAGCACTATGCATTTGGCTGCCCTGGCATATGTCCTTGCCAGGGTCTGCCACAAAGCGCTGAATGACAAGAAACAGAGCCTGCAAATCCGGGGTAGGGGGACTGGAGGCCACAGTGGCACAGGCCAGGGAGAAGGCCTCCTCTGCGGGAGCCTGGATCTGCCTCTGAAAACACAGCTGCCTGTCAAACGAGATCTGGGAGGGTGGCAGGCTGCAAGAGGGCAGGATAGAGGGAGGCGTTTTCGAGTAGTGTTGAGTTGAGACAAATGGGCCAGATCGGGGTAGAGAGAATAAACCCCCTTCTGTCCCCAGCAAGCCAGGGATTGCCCCAGCCCTATGGAAAAACCCGAGGAGCTTCCCAAGGCTGTGGCCTCCCAAGAATGTGTGCAGAGAAGGTTGTTTCTCTCTGAGCCTATAGGCTATGGGACCAGCCTGGGCTTCAGGAGAGCCAGCGTCCTACCCAGAAGTGGAACAAGCGCTGGTGGCTCCTAGACCACTCGCTCAAGTCCCTGCTGCCTGCTCAGCCCCCAGCTCACCGCAGTGAAGGGCCCAAAAGGGCTGTTATGTAGGAGCAGAGAACTGCTCAGGATGAGCTTCTAGAAATCTGGCGGTGGCTCTGTTTGCAGGTGTCTCTTCAGTTGTCACCTTTGCCTCTGGGCAACAGTGGCAGGGGCAGATAGTTCTATAGTGTCCCTTGCATCTCTGCAGGGTGGGGGCCCCCAAGTGTGTGGATCCAAGGGAGCCCGTGCTCTTCCCAATCGGGAGAGGGAGCAGCAGTGTCCACAGGGTGACCCCCGGGCAGTTCAGCCTGGGGAAGGGCTGCATGACCCCATCTGTGCTTCTTCTGGTGGAGGAAAAGCCACGATCAGGACTGTCCTCAGTGGCCCACAAGACGCAGCCAAACAAAGAAAAGCCCTGTTTACAATCCAGTAGTCCTCAAAGGCGGCCGAGTTTGCTGTCCAGGCGCCACCTATCCCCGTGGGGCCTGTGGGCATCACCGCTGTCAAGTGTCTGCTATCAGTGGCGGCTGAGAGGTGCCGGAGCTCGCAGGCTGTCTGACACGTCCCCTCTGCATGTGCCGCGCTGAGCAGCTCCGCGCCACCAAGCTGTCTGCGGGAGCCTGGCTCCCCGTCTGCAGTTCACACTTGCCGCCTCTGACTGAGCCCCCTCGAGTGGCAGGCCACGGCTCCCAGGTCACCTCGAGGGCCCCGGGAAGGGTCCTGGGGCTTGGTTACCGGGCACACAGCAAGCCTGCTTCACCGTGCCCGCGGCAGCCTGGAGCTTTCCGGCCAGCCCTGAGGTCCCTCTTCTCTGTCCCCGCGCCTACACACGCTGTCCTCAGCACCCAACACGAACAAAAAGATTAACCGCAGCCTCCCCCCCCAATACTAAAGGGCTCACCATGCAGCGTATACACATGTGAATGAGATGTCTGAGCCCACGGTGTTCTGTCCTAAGATAGTGGTTTTCAAATAGGGTTCTATGGAGCACGAAGGCTCCTCGGAGCTACCAGAGACTTCGGGGTGAAAGGAGAGGCAGGCAGGGCCCCAGGCCCCAGCGCCTCTTCACCCAGCCCAGCTCCACTTTTATCTCTTATATGTTGTACTTCTGGGTAAGATGTTAGAGGGGAAAAATGCTTGAAGACTGCAGCTCTCAGGCAGCCATCCCCAAGCAGGAGGGTCGTCAGAGTCATTGCACAGGGAGCTTTGACACACTTGAATCCCTGGTCCCAGCGTCTCAGAGTCCCTCTGGGGGTGGGGCCTGGGAATCTATATTGCTGAAGTGCACCAGGGGCCTCCATGGGTCTGTAGGCTTGGAAGCCTCCCAGGCGAGGCACCGTGAGTGCCAGCCAGCTGCTCGGGACACAGAGGGAAGGAGCGCACCTCACAGGCCAAAGGGGACACACCTGTGTTAGGTTCAGGAATGGGGGCCTTGATGGAAACAGGAGTGGGCGGCTGTAGGGACAGCACGCGCACCCTGGGCTGAGGGGAGGATGGGAGAGCCCGGTGACGGTACAGCCTGGGGCACACAGCACCTCACCCTGCTGGTGGGCATGCCCGTGCACGCACATTCTCTCGTCAGAGCCAGGAGGCTTTGCGTGGCACACGGGAGTCGGGTGGGGCTGTACGCATGTGCCTGGCAGGCAGGTGCAGAAAGGGCGCTCTGCAAGCCGCAGACACTGCACGCTGCTCAGAGAGAGGCCAGCATGGAGGCTGAGAGGGACCCGGGTGGGGAGGGAAGAGGTCCCACCTCACTGGAGCACAGAGGGCGTAGAGCAGCCCTGCTCAGCCCTGTGCGCCCCTCACACTCACCTGCGGAGCTTTAAACAACTACTGACGCCCAGGCCCCGCTGGGAAAATGAAATCAGAATTTCCACGAGTGGAATTCAAGCACTGGCGTCTTTTAAAAATCTCCCAGAGGAGTCTGAAGTGCAGGTGGGGTGAGAACCTGGCCTTAGAGACTGTCCAGGCCATTGGTTCACGGTGCAGACACTGGACCAGTGGCACCAACATCGTCTGGGAACTGCAGGTGCTTAGGCCTCACCCCAGACCTACTGGTCCAGAAGCCCCCAGGGTGGGGCTGGGCAATCTGTTTCAACAAACCGTGGTGGCTCTGAGGCAGGCGAAAGTTTGAGAGCTACTGCTCTGGGCTGAGGGCGTTCAAATCATGGTTTATGGGACTCCAGGGTCTCTCTCCGGTTACCCTGGCGCAGAACGAGCAGCTTCCCAGGCTGTCCACCCTTGACCCTTCCTGCTCCCAGTCCAGGAGCGCCACTTTCACTGATATTGTTTACTGGAGTTCCACACCAGCATGTATCTGGGGGAAAAAACCGTGTCCAACTGCTTCATTTTGGGTTGGGAAAGTCCAAGCCCAGCAAAGAAAGGGAGGTGGCTTGCTCAAGGCCACAAGGCCAGTCACTGAGCCGCAAAGGGAAGGCCGGGAAGGGCAGCCCCCCACAGCCCACCTCCCCAGCCTCCTTCCCTTCACACCCTCCTCCGCCACACTGGTGCATGTCCCTTTTCTCCCACAGGCTGACGCCCTACGAGTGGTACAGCCCACACCCGTGTGCCCAGGGCCGCTGCAACCTGCTGGTGAACCAGTACTCCCTGGGCAACAGCCTCTGGTTTCCGGTCGGGGGCTTCATGCAGCAGGGCTCCACCATCGCCCCTCGCGCCCTGTCCACCCGCTGCGTCAGCGGCGTCTGGTAAGGCCCCAGGCACAGGCCGGCCAGGCCTGAAGTGGTGCTGGAACTAGGCCAAGTGGGGCGGGGGGACGCCGAGGGGACCCTCTAGATGAGCCCAGCTGCTGGCGGGCAGGAGCCCTAGTGGCCCCACGTGAGAGCCCCAGAGCTCTGCCTTTCACGACAGACCCTCCTCGGGGAGTGAGGTGCATTCTGCCAGCTCACAAGGCCGGGCAGCGGATGGGGCCCGCCTTGTACCATCTTCTCCCCTCCCCCCACTCCGTCTCTGGGGTCTGGGTGTGCAGGGGAGCCGAGGCAGGAGGGGAGAGAGGGGGAGTGGGAAAACAGCCTTGATGACCTTCAGCAAAGCTGCGATAACTCCTGACCTGAAAATGACCTGCAGACCTGAGAAGGCATATGCAGATTTATGCAAATAGGAGTCTGCTAGCAGGAAGTCCCCGCAGGAGGAAGCCAAGCCTGGCTGCCACATCATGCCCCCTCTGCCAGCTTTCTCAGGCTTTGTCCCTCTGCACCTGGCTCTGGGGCTGGCTGGCCTGCCCACCCCAGCAGGTGTGGAGAATGAAGGCTCTGGGCCGCTCAGCGTTGAGCGAATAATCCCATGTTGGGAAAGCTCTTTGAAAAATTGAAAGTGCTACATAAATGTGTGGGCTAGTAATTGTTATTAGACCATTATGGGGGGTAAATGAAAAAATTATATATATATTATAATTTTATAAACACACACATGCACACAACACACACACATATACACACATAACCTAAAGAGGCAAGTTTGCAGAGCACAAGGTTTTGACCCTCTCTTAAAAAATCCACTGTAGGTCCGGCTGCCACAGCATACAGGACTGACAACCTTGGTCCTCTCTCCTCTTTCTCAACCAGATTAGCCAAGTGAAAGCAAGAGTGGTGTTCCTACCCTTGGGTACTGGTGCCGGGGCAGAGGGTTGGTCTGGACAGAGTTACTAGGGCAGCCACTGGAGCTGGGGCTGTCGGGAGGTGACACAGCAGGGACAGTGAGCTCCCCACCACACACATATACACCATCTGGGGTTTTCATTTTCCCTGATAAGCAATAAGTATAGTAGGATTTAAACCACTTGCACAAGATGCTCACCTGTTACCAAACAGTGCAGAGCAGTCAACGTGGAGAACTGGGGTTCACGTCCCCAGGAGGAGGGGAGGGTTTCAGCAGGGATGGCCATGAAGTTTCCTCAAAATCCAGGAAATCTGGGCAGGAGCCCTGGGAGATGAGCAGGCACCAGCTGAGAATGTTGTTCTCTTTCTCCCCGAGGCTTTTCCTTCCAGAGGGTGCACGTTCCCTGGGGGCAGGAAGGGCCCCATTACCTGTTTCATCTGCCTGGCAGCTCCCCTCCGCCCAGCCCTGGAAATCCTTCCTGCAGAACCCGACCTTCCTGCTGGCTCCCCGGCCCTTAGTCCAAAGACTGGGCGCAGCTTTAACTAGCTGGCCCCAGGTGGCTTGGCCACCCTGTCCCAGCACTAATGAGAAGCCACCACAACAGGTCCTCCACAGCCCCTGACCCCACGTTGTCAGTGAGCCCGTCTGCCTCACGGAGTTCTTAGCTATTCTTTCAGGGCTTGGTTTCCTCTGGGGAGCGAGAGGTAAGCTACTGTGGCCTACCTTGGCCTCCTCGCTCAGAGCAAGTGATAGAAAATGCCACGTCGCTCACAAGAATGCCAGCTTTACAACTGGCAGTGGCCCTCAGTCACAGGAGCAGGGCTCACGGGCCCCTCCGGAGTCAGTATGGGCATCATTAGCTTCTCAGCAGAGGCGAGGGGGGCTGGCCCTGAGCCACTAATGCCCTCTGATCGGTTCCCTTGTGACCAGTGGCCTAAACAACCACCCAGGGTGGAACGGCTGCCAGAAGGTAGCCATGGGGCCGAGGGAATCTCCAGGAACAACTCTAAAGCGAAATCCACACCCAGGGCTCATTAACCCAGGGCTCTAAGCAATGCAGTAAGCAGCTGCAGAATGCCAGCTTCCTCCCGGGGCTTGCCCGCTCCCAGGCCACCTTCCAACAGCGTGGGGGAGCTGAGGCAGGAGCAGGGAAGCAGGTAACAGGTAGGGAAGGCAGGAAGGAGGCAGCCACGTGATTCCATCCCATATTCGAGGGTCTCCACACATTCCTCTATATCTCACACTCGTCTAGTCCCTTACAGATTACTGATCACTAATGACGTATTACCTCATTTGCTCTCACAGCTCTCCGAGGCCAAGCAGAGCAGGCATTATTATCCCCATATATTTAGAAGACAAGTAAGCACGCTCAGAAAAGTGAGTGGCTTTCCCCATAGGCCCACAGGTGGAAGGTGACAAAGCCAGAACCAAAACCCAGTTCACCTCACGGGTGGACACTGGATGCCCCTTTGCTTCACTGCTGCTGGGGCAGCCGGCAGGAGCTCTTGGTCACAGTGGCAAAAGGGGCAAAGGGACTTTCTGCTCTTGAAAATCCGCCTGGCAGCTCCAGCTGCTGAGTCCTGTGGCAGACACTCACCACACATGAGTTGGCGATGTCTTCATGATGGGTAAAGCCTCGTGAATTCAGAATCCACTGGTTCAGAATCTGTGATTCTCCAACCTAAACTGTGCTCAGATCTATCTTTGAAACCCCTCTGGATTGGGAAGCAGATCCATACTGTTGACCAGATGGGAGAAGGCTTGTTTAACCTACTACCGTGAGCAAACTGTGTTTAATGGCTTCAGCAGATATGCTGCCTGAGTTGCAAAATTATTCTAATTTTAAATGACTTGATGAAACAGTCTTCTAGTTTGAAATAGCATGATCATTGTAAAAGTGTTTTCTATTAATAATTCCAGCATTTCAGCGGTTCAAAGATGCTTTCCACCTGTTAGGCTTTGTTAAAGATTTTCTGCTGTTACAATTTATAGAACTGGGTTTAAAATACGAATTTATCGGATGTGTTCCTTGGCAAGTTACTTCACTCCTCTGAGCCTCAATTTCCTCACCTGTATAATGGGGGTAAGAATTCCGCCTCCTGAGTTGTAGGGATGACGAGAGATGGCGGGCGCGGCTCGTGGCAGGTGCTCAGCACGCGGCTGTGTGCATCTGGAGGTTGGCTTCAGCATGAGGCAGGGAAGCCGTCCCCACTCCAGCTCTCAGCAGAGCCCTCAGAGCTGGCACCCGTAGCTCATTCACTAGCTCATTGCTCATAGTCTTCCAGACTGTCTCATATGCATGGACTACACCTCTTTTGAATAACAACCCAATAATCACCTCTGTTAGGAAATAAGAAAAAAAAAAATCGACTGCCTTCTTCCAGGCAATGCTCACAAACTTAATTCATCTCTGTTGACATCATATGTCCTGCCTCCTTTCTCTTCCCCCACTAAGTTGCCAGCTCCTTCCGATGACAGACACCTGGTCTGTCCTGTGTCACCGCAGGCCTAGGGATGGGAGTCGAGACTCCTGGGAGTGCCCGGGCAGTGACGGCTTCCTGGTGTTTCCCTGCATAGGTGGGCTTTCACGCTGATCATCATCTCATCCTACACCGCCAACCTGGCAGCATTCCTGACCGTGCAGCGCATGGATGTGCCCATTGAGTCAGTGGATGACCTGGCTGACCAGACCGCCATTGAGTATGGCACAATTCACGGAGGCTCCAGCATGACCTTCTTCCAAGTAAACCCCATTTGGTTGCTCACCAGCATCGGGAATTGGGCTGAATGAACTTGAGATGTTTGTCCACTGGAGATGAAAACATCTCTCCTCATCTCATTATCTCTTCTGAACATCTAGTTTGGAGGTCCACATGGGGCTCATTTTTCTCCTACTCCACAAAATACCCTTGGAATGAGGTCCCAAAAGGACTTTGGGTTAATGGAAGCCTGTCCCAAAGTGTTGTGCATGAATGAATGATTGGTGGTACTTGAGATGGTTTTAGGTACAATGTGGTGGAACTATATTTTAATTGCAATAGTCTATGTTTATTTGAATGAGAAAAAAAAAATATATATATATTCGGTGAATCAAATCTGTAGTTTTATTTATATTACTGATTAGGATAGGACTAATATATGCCTTTAAACATTTTAATTGAGTTAAATTTTATAGGTAGTGCTTAGAGCAATATTTAAATAATATACAAGTGATTGAAGTTTGAGGAACACTAGATTAAGACCAACCGGTTTCACTGATTCCAGACTAGATAGGTATCAGGGACCCTGTTGACTTCTTTGGGTTTCCTTTTCGAGAGTCAGGAGAAGGCCCTGCCACAGTGATGTCTTTGCTGAGACAGCAACTGATTGATCACCAAGGCTGACAGAACCAGGCCAGGCACAATGGTAGTTTTCATATGCTTCAAGATCTCTAAGGAACCAGATTCTCCCTGGGGTTAATAGATATATAACCAACCCAATATCCAAGAAGTTCATTTTCACATGAAACAAGTCCAAAGCCTTCAGCTTTCTGTTGGCATAGAGACCAGTGAAGTCATCATACAAACACAGGGTTTGGATAGACCCCCAGAATTCTGTCTTGTTATTATTTGTAAAACAGAAGCCAGCACTGGATATGTGATCAATCATTTGGTTTGGAGTGGATGGAAAATAACCAGCCCTGCTTCCTCAGATGGTATCTCTGTACAAGTCCTGAAGGAACCTGTGTTTACTGCTCCAACCTCAGGGACAAGAGAGGGACACGACCAGAATTTTGATTCTGCCAGGAAACAGAGGTTGGCAGTGGAAGACCTCTCTAGGGCAGATGAGGCAAAACTGATCATCAAACCAGTAGGCAGAATTGACAGTGCCCGAGGCCCCTGCTGCTTCCCCATCTTTCTGTCAAAGGCATCAAAGGCTCAGCTCCCTCCTCCCCCATTATGCAATGTCAGGGAGCATCTTGCAGTGGGAGATGGAGGGACAAGTGGTTGACCGTAAAGAGGGGGTAGAGCTGCAGAAGGGCCGGCACTTGAAGGCCCACTTTGATTCCCTCCCCTTTTAAGCCAACATCTCCTTCCTCTTTTCCCAATCCGGCTTCCTTTTGTTGTTTTCCCAGAATTCCCGCTACCAGACCTACCAACGCATGTGGAATTACATGTATTCCAAGCAGCCGAGTGTGTTTGTGAAGAGTACAGAGGAGGGAATCGCCAGGGTGTTGAATTCCAACTATGCCTTCCTGCTGGAGTCCACCATGAATGAGTACTATCGGCAGCGAAACTGCAACCTCACTCAGATTGGGGGCCTGCTGGACACCAAGGGCTATGGGATTGGCATGCCAGTCGGTATGCAGGAGAGCAGCAGCCTCTTTGGGTAGCTTCGTCCAGGCAGGGTCAGGGAAGCTAAAACTACTGAACATAGCATTGACTTCAATAACCCCAGTGGCTAGAACCAATTTAACAGTGACCTTAGGTGGCATTCTCAATGTTTAAAAAAAGCAAAGTGACATACTTCTACTAGTCAGTGATCAGTGCCTTAATTATTAAGGACCTAGTTGATAGTTGATCAATTTTTCTTTGATTAATTATTAAAGGGCTAATCCTAATTATTAAAGAGCATATTGATGCCCTTGGGCACTTTAGGCCTTTTGTTCCTCCTCTCTCCTGCTTCCTGCCCCTTGGCCATTTCTCTGTTGATTGACATCTCTACTAGCAGTGGAAAGAAGGAAGAGATGGTAAAATACAAATGAATTGATTTTGCTATTTGCTAGTGTCCCTGGTGAAAAGTTTACTGCAAAATGGGACTGACATGATTAGATGAGATGGCTTTCAAATTATTTGTGGATTTCACTGATCCATCTACTCCAAGTCAGCTCACTGTGGGTAATCATGAATGGGCAGTAAGAATCTGACCTTCTGCTTGCTGACTGGGTGACATCTGGTTTTGTTATAGGAGGGTGGGGATGTTTGGCTTCCAGAAAGGTATCCCAGCTGTGCTGTTTAAAGGACATTCACACTTTGGGCCCTCCCTTGCTGGGAGTACCTCCTCCAGAAGATGAGGGGAGAGCATGTGTCGCTGCTGTTGTGATTTTGATGGGGATCTGAAGATGTTCCCAGGTGATTCTGACATGCACCCTTCCCCCACACACACATACCATTGAGAGCCACTGTTGCATGGGGTGGCCATTGTACAGGGGTGTTCTTATACAAGGCATCAGAGGAAGAAGCAGGTTTTGAGGCCATCAGATCACATGAGAAAATTGATACACAGTATGCACATCTTTGTAGTTGTATTACACATCCCTTCCATAAGTCTTTGCTTGACTCAGAGGTCTATAAATTATAGGGTTCGCTTATACCTGTGGAGTATAATGAGTGTGGACTTGGCATCAGGCAGACGTGGGTATGCATCCTGGTTACTGTGTGTGGTAACTCCGACAGGTTATTTAACCTCTCTAAGCATGAGTTATCTCATTCATAGAATTGTGTTTCTAAGACCTACCCCATGGGGTTATTATAAGGATTAAACATGATAATCTGGTCAGGTGCCTTACCTCTGTGTCTCATACTTAGCCTGTCCTGGGGAACATTAGTGTCTTTCCCATCTTTCCCATAGTTTCCTATGTCATTTGATAAAAGCAGATGATTTCTTAAATACTGATCAGGAACTAAGCAAATTAACACAGGCAATAATATGGTTCATTCCTGCTCTCTGTCAATTCTGACACTAGCAGTTCCACAAACTGGAGGCCTCACTCAGGGCACTAGTAATCCTGTACACCCTCCATTTAGTATTTACTAAATGAATATTTAATATTTCATTGATGTTCCCTAATGTTACAGATTATTTGAGAAATATATTGGCTGACATTGCGTTTCAAAATGGTGGAGTGAACCATAAAATGAACTTAAGATGCACCTTGATAATAGTCTAGCAAGTTCAACAATTATAAATTTTACAAATTTAACCTAAATCTCAAATGCCTCAGAAGTTTTCATGAAACAAAACTATAGAGACTTGAGGTAAAACCAACTAACTCTGGAAATTTTCATCAGTAACCAAGGAAAAAGTGTTCTGTATCTGATATGATGCTATTTGTACATGTATAATTGTATTCATCCCCCCCAAGGGAATAAATATGGTGATTTCCATTCTATAGAGGACAGAACTGAGATTCAGAGCAAATAGGTTACTTGTCTAAGATCACAGCATAAAGAATCTGAGCCTCAGCCTAGGATGCTTGTCCCCAAATCTAGTAATTCTGACAACCAGACCATGTTGTCAAAAGGATCCAACCAGCTAGACAAGACAGGATTGGTGGGAAGGTATGCTGTGGGCTAGTCTAGGTTCTCATGAGATTGAGAAGAATATTACACCGTCCATTAATGAGACAGGATTTAGGTGCAGCTGGGGTTATGCCCAAGAAAGATAAATTGTGTATACTTCAGGTGGGAAGTAAGGGTGTATACAAGCATGTGTATCATTCTTAAGGGGAAGGTGAGAGCATAATTATAGAATAAACAATGTGGTTAGACCGAGGAAGATGAAGAGAAGCAGAACAAGGAGCAGCATAGAAATTTGATCAGGTGGTTTAGGAGCGAAGTAGGCACCATGAAGTGAGCACAAGAGTCCTTTCATGCAGCCCTGGTGTGTTGTGAGGTTGGGTTGAAAGAGCCTTGAAACTGGCTGAAAGGCCTTACTGGGCTGGACAGTTGTCTCTAAATCTGGAATGTTCATTAGTCTCACACCTGATAGCATCCGTTATGTGACTCGCTCCTGTATCCCTCACTGCAGGTGTGTATTAAGTACCTATTCTATGTGAGGCTCTGCTGATGTTGGCCCGGTGCTGCAGGCTTGAGGTCTGCATGTCCAAGCATAGATGTGTCGATATCAGAGGAGGTTCTACCATGGAGTCATGGGCTGTCACAGTCAGAAGAGACCTGGCAGATGTTCTACTTCTTTGCCTCTGGAAGTATGGTCCATGGCCCTGAAGCGTGGGCATCACCTTGGGGATTGTTGGAAACGCAGAATCTCGGGCCTCCCCCCAGACCTGCTGAAACAGTCTGCAGGTCAACAAATCCCCAGGTGGTTGCTGGGCACTGGAGAAGTGCATTGAGAAGCACTCATCGCTTTGTTCCAAGCTTCCGCCTGAATCTTTCACCATGGCGTTTTCCCTCTGGGGCATCAGGCCTTCAGAGAGCTTGGGCAAGGAAGCTGGGCAGCTTAGCTGTCTGCCAGCCTCTAGGCAGCTTTTTCTTAATGATCTCAGGCCTCAGCCTGTGCTGGGACATCGAGCTTTACATGGTTTCATTTAAGCCTGTTTTGTGATGAAACCTAAATTTTAGAACCAAAGCTCCTTGACCATATCCCATTAGAAAAATTAAAAAAGAATTGCACTGAACAGAAAAAAGCCTTCTGTTTGAGGGCAGGAGGGGCGGGGAAAATGGGATAATGAGCAGGCCAGGGGGTTCTGGTGCATTCGGCAACAGCCCGGAGGGTTGGGGACACGTGGGAACTGGAGCCTCCAGAGGATGGACACTTCTGTCACAGTCTGGGGTGGCGTTTCTCCCATGGGTCGGTGCCTGCTCTGGGTGTAATGTAGTGAGAGTTACAAGTGCATACCTGAGAAATTAATTTAAATAAAGTAGAAATTGGACAATTGACTGAGAGGTTTGTGTCACAGAAACACAAGCTTTGAGCCGGGCGCGGTGGCTCACGCCTGTAATTCTAACACTCTAGAAGGCTGAGGCGGGCGGATCACTCAAGATCTGGAGTTCAAAACCAGCCTGAGCAACAGCGAGACCTCATCTCTACTAAAAATAGAAACAAATTAATTGGCCAACCTAAATATATAGAAAAAATTAGCTGGGCATGCCTGTAGTCCTAGCTACTCAGGAGGCTGAGGCAGCAGGATCGCTTGAGCCCAGGAGTTTGAGGTTGCTGTGACCCAGGCTGATACCACGGCACTCACTGTAGCCTGAGCAACAAAGTAAGACGCTGTCTCAGAAGAAAAAAAAAAGAAACACAAACTTTGGTCTCCTGAGTGGACAGGAAGGTTTGCAACCAGCATTCTGTGTCTCAATGGACAGGTCGTTTAACCTAAATAGACCGCCTCTTTTTTTTTATTTCTTTATTTTTTTTTTATTTCAGCATATTACAGGGATACAAATGCTTAGGTTACAGATATTGCCTTTGCCCCACCCGAGTCAGAGCTTCAAGCATGTCCATCCCCCAGACGGTGCACACCTCACCCATTAGGTGTGAATATACCTGCCCCCAACTCCCCCTCCCACCTGCCAGACACCTGATGAATGTTACTACTATATTTAGAAAGTGCTGGGACCCAGCGAGGGAGGTGAGTGGCACAACTCCCTGGAAAGACATCATTTGACCCATCCTGGGGTATTTGGCCATCGGCTGGATGTGCCAGTCAGTGTGGAGAGAGGATAGTAGAAAAGGCAGAACCCTGCATGAAGCCAGAACTCTCTCCTCTCCACCGGGGAGATGAACAGAGTGGAAAGCAGTGGTCCTTTGGGCACGCCCTGCCCGTCACATCTGTCTCTCCTCTCCTGAGGTTGACGCAGGTGGAGTGGTCAGGGGGTGTGCTGGGAAGGGGGACAGAGTGACACTTAACAGAGCGCTCACACCCTGTGTCCTGGGCTCTCCTGTGCCCCTGCAGGCTCGGTTTTCCGGGACGAGTTTGACCTGGCCATTCTCCAGCTGCAGGAGAACAACCGCCTGGAAATCCTGAAGCGCAAATGGTGGGAAGGGGGGAAGTGCCCCAAGGAGGAGGATCACAGAGCTAAAGGTAAGGAGGTTCAGGGCCTTCCACCACCGCCCTAAAGAACCAAAGCAGCTTGTTTCTCGTGTTGAAATTCTAGGTCCGAGTAACGACTTCTAGGACACATCGAGAAGAAGCCTTGGAAGGAACCTAGGGCCAGGCTGGGCTGGCTGGGGCTCAGTTCTGTCCCAGGGCCTTACACTCTGTAGCCACCCAGTGTCCACCTGGCTCACAAGTCTTAGAGGCTCTGCCTTCACAAAGTTTCCTGAATGCAGCCACCTCCGCCCCCCAGCGCCACCGCTGCCACCCTGGCCCATGCCCCCATCCTCTCGCACCTGTGCAGTCACCACTGCCTGGTCTCCTTCTCCCACTTCTGCATTTCTACAGTGTATTCTCCACTAGTAGCCAGAGCAGTCCTTTTTTAAAAGGCTAATTTGATTGCATTTTAAAATTCCCCTACGCAAGCCTTCCAATGGCTTCCCATCTCACTGGGAATAAAATTCAAGACCCTGTGTGATCTGTTCCCCTCAGCCTACCCCTCTTCCTCCTGTTGCCCAAGCCTCCCAGCTGGCTCTTCCACCCCGGACCCTGTGCACCTGATCCCCCCTCCTCGGCTCCCTGAGGAGGCTGCCTTAGGAGAGGTCTTCACTCTCACCCTCCACATCGCCCCATCACCTCAACCCGGCCCTATGTCTCTTTTCAGACCTTCTCGCTACCTGACATTATATTTTCCATGTGTTTGTTTACATTCTACCCCTCTTCCGGAATGTAAGTTTCATGAGGGCAGAGTTTGTCTTCTTCACAGGGCTGGCACATAGATATTTGATTGATTGATTGATTGATTGAATGGTAAATTGGGTTGAATTTAGAAAGCAGTCACTGACTGGGATGTGCAGCTGAGAAGTGCTGCAGGTCCCTGAGCACCCTGGACTTTCCTTAGGGAAAACACATATCCTGGTTTGCCCAGGGTTGTCCTGATTACATCTGCTGTAGATCAGTTCATGCCTGTTAGTTATTTCTAGATAACTTTCACTCTCGAAGTGTCCTGGTTTGGATAATAAATCAATAAACCCTAGTAATCTATTGCTGCCTTGTTAAAATATGCAACAAATTTACCTGCACACACTGTCCCCAGGAAAGCAGATGAGAATTAAAATGAAGGCTATCATGCGCTTGCCTTTTCGGCTCAGCATGCATGATTATCCCTGGTGGGACTGTGAATGAGTGACTATGTGTTTCTAAGCGTCTATGTGTAGATCTCTATCTTGCAAGGAGAGGTCTCGAAACTATGGATCTATGGGGCAAGCCCTTTGTCATTTAAAGGAAATGCTGCCCTCAGAGGAACCTGATAAGGCCACACACTTCTGAACTCTCTGCTCCCCCAGGGCCAGAGCTGGCCACGGGGAAGGCAGTGGCCATCAGTGGACAGAGAGCATGGGCAGATCTCATTTCAGTCCCGGCTCCACCAGTTGCACGTTCGTTAGCACAGCTGAGCCCGCATTTCTTTCTCTGTAAAATGAGCACAGTAATCAGCACCCACGTGGCTGTCGTGAAGGGAGAGTGGAATGAATAGCACAGAGCGTGGCTCATGTATGTTACAGCGGTTACCGAGCTGCCCTCCAGAGCCGTGCTGTGCCACTCTCAGGGCAGTCTGATTCCATTAGCTGTCTGCAGGGGAGTTATTTTCAGTTGTCAGCCAGCCAGCCATTCAATCAACAGGGTGTGCTGGGGGACAGGGAGGTGTCCACCCACATCATTTCATACTCCTGAGAATAAGAAAGCACTACAGGCTTACCATCAAGGACCTTAAAGTGATTTCTGGAAATAAAACCAACATCCTTGAAGTGATTAGCAAACAATCTTAGATACTAGCTAAATTACAGTTAAATACTGTGGGGTGAAGTACAGAGGAGACTATTTGTTCAGAGAAAAAAAGAAATGGAAGTGACATAGAGAAAAGTGTCAGGATGCTTTTGTGGGCTGGAGAGAATGAACTAGATTTTGAAGATGCCCAGGACTGAACAGGGACGGAATAGGTAGGGACTGTGGGAAGAGGGTATTGCAGGCAAATAGGCACCTCGAGGAAGGAAGTGGAGGCAAAAATCAGCGCCGTGGGCAGGGCTGTGTGCAGGGGCTGCGGGTGGTACAGGGGAGCAGAGAAACATTTGCAGCTGGGGCGGTGGGGCCACGAAAAGGGTTCACACTGGGGAAGGTTTGGGTGGCAAAATTTGCCACCTCCGCCCCACAAAAACAATACATGGATTGGAAACATGGCTGGACCTGGAATTGGACTGTTGGTAAGTCAGCATCCATTAATGTTGCTCTGTGATATCAATGAACCTGAGGATGGTGGGAAGGAGCACATCTCACCTAGATGTGGAGGGATACAGTGGTGGCATTGTGCCCTGGAGCTATCTAAAGTGGGAACGCAGAGGTGTGTGCCTGGGGCCCAAAGCAGAAGGACCTTGGGTCCTTCCCATTATTGATAAGTGAAATAGAAGAGATGTCCAGTTGTCCATCTTCCCAGAAGCCCTTGGGGCCTTCTGAGACTTTGGGCAGAGCACTCAGTACTACATTGCAACTCCTGGCCTTCTCTGCTTGGTTGTTGGCCCTTAAGACCTAGTCTCATTTGCTTCTGTGGCCCTAGCCTCCACCACAGGGCCCAGCACCTAGTAGGCACTCAATGTCTGTGGGATGCGTGACGATGGCTACTGCTAGCTGTGAGAAACTGCCAATTACCGTGTTCTCCTGGGCCATGCTGGAGTGGCTCGTGGAACTGTGCTTGGAAGTACTCCCCTGAACAGCCTTGGTACCCAGAGCTCCCCACTGCCAGTCAGTTGTTCCTGCCTCTGAGCAGCTGACTGGATGTATGTGGTGGTGTAGCAGAGACATTGAAAAGGGAGACTAGAGCCAGACAGGAGTGGCCAAGGGCAGTGCAGGGACCTCTGAAGGCTCCTGCTGTCAACCCATCATGTCCAGGCTGCAAGCTCTGGTCAGCTCCAAATCTCTCTTCTCTCCCTCTCCCCACTAGCCTGGGGTTTCCTGGGCTTTCCTTCCCTTTTTAAATCTGATCCCATTTGGTCTCTTGGGGCTCATTTCCCCTTATGTCTCATTACTGAGTTGATCCCCTCTCTCCAGTTCCCCCTTTCATCCCCGAACCCTAAAACCAGCCTCAGGAGCTTCCCGTTGTACACTTACTCATGTGTGTTATGTCTCCTGCTCATCTCTGCGGAGGATCAGGTGGAGGGGAGCAAAGTTGGTCAGCACAGGAAAGGTGACACAGGATCTGGGCACCTTACAGGCCTCACCAGGGACCTTAAGCTAGACCCTCCCTCTCCCATTTGAGATCTCACCCAAAGTCCATGGAACGGAGCTCACTGAACTTTGACCCTCCTGCACACCTGTTTGTTCTACTGGCAGTGCTGGGACGGTTCTCTTTCCCGAGGCAGTTTTGACAGGGTTCACGATCACGAGCATTGCTTCAGATGGCCTCCCTTCTATAGATGCCTTTGTCCTAAGAGACACTGGGAAATGTCTTTGAGCCTCAGTTTCCTTTTCTGGAAAATAGAGGTAATAATAGCATGGCCATCTCCCAGGGCTATTGTGAAGATTGAATAAGATAAGTCATAGGAAGTTCTCAGAAAAGTGCCTGGCACAAAGTAAATGACAACTAATTTTATTCCGAAATCTAGGCCTGCAGGAGCAATGAAGGCACAATGAGAGGCCTGATAGTGTCCCCAACCTGCAAATATGCCCGTCCATCCTGTGGTCCTTAAGGCTGAATGGCTCTTCAGAAATCAACACTTATGGCATTTATTTTTATGTCTGATGACATTTTCCCCCAATAGACGACAAGCAACTCACAGGCAGGGAGTGTCCTGTTTGTTTTTGTGTCTCAATGCCCAGCACATCACCTGACATCAGTATTAGATGAAATAATGAAGAACAAATGAATGAGTAAATGAATGAATGAATGAATGAATGAATGGGCAAGAATCTCAAGGTCCTCCTGACTAGGTGCCACTTCCACCTTTATCTTGTGTTTATTTCATCCCAGACAGGAGCCTCAACATCTCAGGTGTTAGCATGGAAAGTGTTCATGTAGCTCCCATTGCAGTCAACAAACAGTATTGTAAACCACTGTGTCCCGGGACTGTCTGAGTCTCTCAAATTGCAAAAAGGAATATGACATGGCCCTGCCCTAAAGAGGTTTAGAACCTAGAGAGAGGCGCAGTTACTATAACGGTTGTGCTATAGGAGTGCTTTAATAGAACTATAAGGAAAACATCTGGAAGCCCAGAGGAGGAAGTGATGGTTCTCAGGAATGGTCAGGGGAGGCTTTGCAGAGACATTTGGCCTGGACCTTAAAGCATTCTTTAGGAGTCACTGCTCTGGGAAAGTTGTTGAGCACAAGTGTTGCACTCAGAACTTGGTTTGAATAAGTAGGCTGAAGTTGGAGTTCAGAGGGTGTTGAAGGTTGGGCAAAGGCATCTGCAAACCAGTCTGCCTCACACTTTTTCATGGGAAGGACAAACGGCAGAGAAGACTGAATGTGAACTCTGGGGATCTGGGACATAGACTAAAGCAGCCCACCATGTTGGAATTTCCTTAAAGTCTTCTGTTTTGTCTTGAAAATACATGTGATTTTGTATCTTACTCCATAATATAGACATGTCTATTTAACATAAAAATGTTTTTCCCACCCAAGCTCCAAGTAAAATCAGTGTTTTTGGAAGACGCCTCATAATCATGCCATAGCTTTGCCAGACACCTTGGCACACGAACATTGCGCTGGACTGTGTTAGAGAGAATTGGCAGCAGTCACCAAGGTTCTATTGCGAGATGTGACACGATGAAAGCAGGTGCCATGGGATGGAATTCTGAGCTCTTCGTGGCATTCTTGGTCCCAAGGGATAGTCATTGCCTCAGGAGAAACAAAGCCAAATTATTGGCTTTGAGTTCCAAACTCAGTTCTCACAACTCACAATAGAGACAATGTTCCTGGAAGGCAAGGTTTATTATTTGCT